AGAAGAGGAAAAGAAAAGGAAAGAAAAAGAAAAGGAAAGAAAAAGAAAAATAGAAGAGAAAAAAATAAATAAATAAAGACAAGAATAAAAAGGAAGATATCATAATGACCAGACTCACAACACCCTGCAACACCTTCTCCACTTCAAAAACTGTCATAACTCCTTTGATCTATGCTGCCCGATGGCGTAACCACTGGGGGACAAGGGGAAAATATCTATCTTTGAAAAATCTTCCTCACCCCTTTATAAATGCCCTTTTCATCCCCTGAAAGTGCCTAAAAACCTTCGCGTGCATTTCTTGTTAACATGGGCCAATTTCCTCTAAAAATTGCACATTTTAGGGATTTTGATTAATTCCAACGAAATTAGAATTAAAAACACCGGGGGACAAGGGAAAAATATCCATATTTGGAAAATCTTTCTCCACCCCTTGACAAATACATCCTCTGAAAGTGCCTAAAATTCTCAAATTCTTTGCGCGCATTTCTTGTTACGGTAGGCCAATTTCCTTTATAAATTGCACATTTTAGGGAGTTTTCATCAATTCCGACGAAATTAGAATTAAAAACACAAAAATATTTTGCGCGCTTCGCGCGCATTTTGTAGGGCTTTTTTAGGTTTATCCTTTTAAGTTATTTAAACACATAATAGTCCCAAACTCAAGAAAGACAAATTTAAGATAGGTTGTTTTAAACGAAAAGAAGAGCCTCAATGTGTATTGATGGTGAATGAATGTGTTTGTAAAATAAAACCATGATGAAAATGTTTATAAATGAAAATGTTTATAATTTAGTTTCAAACACACGTGTGTGGCCTATATTATAAATAAGATAAGCCCTATGTTGTATTGTTTTCTATATAGGGAGTGGGGTGGGTGGGTATGGTAAATTACTAACCGGGAAAATAAATACCCACTCTGAGCCAAGACCCCTGTTACGCGCCTGGTGTTAGCGCCAATGTTCGCCCTTGTGCGGATAGGGGATGTGCCCCCCCCCCCTCTGAAGCTGGAAACCTTGTTTTTGCAAAATAAATTGATGCAATTTGCTATTATAGGCCTAATCAATAAATTCCTCATCAACCGATATAACCTTAAACATTTTTGGAATTGACATAACATAATGATGTCGTACACACCCTTCAGTGTGAAATGTGGCTTTCTTTGTAAGCACATTTAACATCAAAGGAAAGAAGGGCTTAGATTGGTACCAGATAAAATAATTTTGTTATCAACATTAATACATTATGCTAATTTTCATCTTTGTGAGCGCATAAGACAGTGCAAATTATTTCTGTGACAGTCTTTTGAAGCGTGTAAAGCTCTATTTTATCCCATACATAGTCAAAATATTG